TTAATAAAATTAATTTTTTTTTTTACATGAAATTAGTTTCTTATTCCATTCCATAAAATGCAGTGAAGTATTTCTTTTCTCATTTACAGTGTACCAAATGTTTTTAAACTTGTGTCCATACAATTTTGTTTAATCCAAAATTGTACTTATTAAAGGAACACTTGCATGCTTGTGTGTGGTCTTAGATTCCTATTCATTTTGTAAATACAGCCTAAGCCTAACAGTTTAAGAACAATCACACCAGGATAGATGAAAAACAATCCACAAATACAAGTTTATTTCAGCTGTTGTATTTAAATGAAAACAACTAACAACAGACACAGTTTTAAAGCATTGCAAGCTACAGCACAATGAACTGAAATCAAAGTAAGTTACAACTAGCTTAAGTGTGCTGAATGTCGGCAATCATTCAGTCAGTGACGACTGCACAAAACGTGCAAACTAATTAAAACATTATAAACTGTTACAAAATGATGAACAAATGTAGTTTAGGCATAGGTTTGTGCAACGCTGTAAAATATTTACCTTTCTCGGCAAAAGCCTTTCCTTTTGCATTTAAATCTTTATTACAAGCAATCCTGCGGTTAATAAAAAACTTTGTTTTCCTACCTCCACGAGTGCCATCTATTATTGGCTTATCTAAAAGAGCTCTTTCCCTTTAAACCTAGCCAAAAAGCCACATGTGTTGACTGAAACACAGTAGACTTTAATAATATGCATTTATGGTGTAATTACTACATTTTCATGTCAATCCATGTTTATATTTACCGCAAACAATGCGCTGTTACTTTAATTGAGCGCGCTCAGTGGAAACGATCTCTGCACTGCTCCAGACGCACCACTCCTGGAACACACTGACGGACCACAACCATGTGCAGTGAACGCTTTAATCCGTTAACATGAGCACGGAAAAAATATGCACCGCATACGCTCTGCAAATGGAGTAATGTGAACCTGGCGTTGAGTGTGCATGAGCGCAGGGGCGGACTTACCCATTAGGCAAAGGTAGGCGACCGCCTTGGGCCCCCAAAAGCCAAGGGCCCCCTAAAATGCTTTTCATATAGGATATGCGCATTAAGCGCGGACACGCGAACGTTTGTGGTTTACAGTGTTTATTTCCACGACAACCGTCCGAGTCTGTGGCACCTGCAGGTGTACGGCTG